GGGCCCCTCTCCGAGCAACGAGCACCGCTCCCCGGGCCCCCCTCCGAGCAACGGGCCCGGGCCCCCCCGACACACCCCGGGCCCCGCTCCGGGCAACGGGCCCAGCCCCCCATGTCGCTCTCCGGGCAACGGGCCCGACCCCGCGACGCGCCCCAGTTCCCCCTCCGGTACCTGCCGAGCTCCCTCCCGTCCCGGGGGCCCGGGCACCGGGGCTCCTCCCCCACAATGCACCGCGCGCGCCGCGGCCGGGAGCCGGGACAGGACAATGCCTCGGTGTCCCAGCGTGCACCGCGCGTGCCCCCCCCCCCCCCGCTACTGCGGGGGGCGGGGGGAGTCTCTCCGGGGGAGGCCCGTGGCCGTCCTGGGGCGGGGGGACTCTCCGGGGGTCTGACCTGGAGGGGAGCGGGCGGGGCGCAGCAGGACTCGGTGGGCGGAGGCCAGGGGGCGCAGGGAGGCAGGACTGGGGGGGGGGGGTGTTTGTGGGACTGTGTAGGCGTGTGCCCGGGGTTGTGCATTGTGCACGCGCGTGTGTTAGTGGGTGTGCCGGGTGGGCGTTAGCATGGGTGGGGGTGAGAGCGCTGTCACTGGTGCTGTCACCCAATGGTGGCCAAAACTGGCCCTTTCAACCAAAATCTAGTTAATAAATTAGGTTTGGGACGTTTTCAGTTGGAAACCCCTTTCGTTTATCCAGAACTAACTCTAGCCTTAAACCTGCCCCTCACCTGCCCCTCACACTAATCCTAACCCCATTCGAACGCTCAGCCAAAACTAGGGTGACCAGACAGCAAGTGTGAAAAATCGGGATGGGGGGCGGGGGGGTAATAGGAGCCTATATAAGAAAAAGACCCAACAATCGGAACATCTGGTCACCATATCCGAGACCTAACCACAGCTAAGTATCTGATTTGGTTGCAGATCTCTGTGACTTCTTCAGTCTGCTTCAGCCCCGCTCGGGCTCGGGCTTCAGCTCTGGGCAGCGGGGCTCTAGTTTCGGCTTCAGCCCCGCCATCACCAAACCCTGATTTTGTACAGTTTCCCCATGACTGTACCATGAATTTTGTTTAATTTTACCGTGACAAAATCATATCCAGAACTATAACCCAGCCCTAGCTCTAGCCCTAACCCCTCAGAGTATGCACACGAGGATGTAGGTTAGGTTGGCACTGGGGCCGTGACCCATTTCACACCTAATATAGACAAGGGTGGTTGGATGTGAAGCCTTGTTCATTGCTTAGTGTTAGCTCCAGGGGGATCTGGTTGACCCCACTCTGCCACACCCTGTACAAACCCTGAGCAGCAGCAGATCCAGGGAAGAGATGGGAGTTGCATGACAGCATCAGAATTGGCTCATGTAAAGGTAGGGTGACTAGATGTCCCGCTTTTATAGATACAGTCCCGATTTTTGGGTCTTTTTCTTATACAGGCTCCTATTACCCCCCATCCTCTATCCCAATTTTTCACATTTGCTGTCTGGTCACCCTCTGTAAAGGGCAGGGAGCCAGGACCGGTCAAATGGGAGTAAGAGAGAGTTAGTGGGACTGTGTACATGTTAATAGGTGTACTAGATGTGTGTTAGAGAGTATGGTTATGTGTGTGTGTGCACTATCTGCAAATGGTGACTAAATCTCACCATTTAAGGCAAAAATCTATTTAAAATAATAAACTAAACAATTGAGTGAACTTTATATTGGAAATACATTCAGTTTAGAGAACTAAACTTAAATCTAACATGAAAACTGCCCTTCACCCTAATTCTAGCCTTTCCCTAAGCCAGTTATAAAAACAGATAATGAAGTCATATCATATGACAACACTCTTTCCATTCCACTAGTATCTCAGGAGGATGTTAAACAGCAACTACTAAAATTAGACATTTAAGATCAGCAGGTCCAGGTAACTGGCATCCAAGAGTTTTAAAAGAGCTGGCTGAAGAGCTTCCTGAACCCTTAATGTTGGTTTTCAGTAAGGCCTGAAGCAGTGTGGAAGTACCAGAAGACTGGAAGAAAGCTAATGGTGTGACCATATTTTAAAAGGGTAAAAGAGATGACTTGGGTAATTATAGGCCTGTCATTCTGACATAGATCCCCCTGTAGATAAGGGAGAGGTTGATATGGGATTTGATTAATGAAGAATTAAACAAGGGTAATGTAACTGATGTCAGTCAATATGGATTGATGGAAAATAGATCCTGTCAAACTAATTTGGTATCATTTTTGTTGCAATTACAAGTTTGATTGATAAAGGTAATAGTGTCGATGTAACATACTTAGACATCTCTAAGGCCTTTGACTTGGTAGAGCACATTTTGATTTAAATCTAGAACGCTATAAAATTAACATGGCACCCATGAAGTGGATTAAAAGGTAGCTAATTGATAGGTCTCAAAATATAATTGCCAGGGTTGTGAGTTCAATCCTTGAGAGGGCCACTTAGGGACCTGGGGCAAAATCAGTACTTGGTCCTGTTAGTGAAGGCAGGGGGCTGGACTCAATGACCTTTCAAGGTCCCTTCCAGTTCTAGGAGATGGGATATCTCCATTAATTTAATTGAGCGAGTGTGTTTCTAGTGGGGTCTCACAGGTTTCTGGCTCTACGTTTTTTAGCATTTTTATCAGTGACCTGGAAGAAAACATGAAATCCTCACTGATGAAGTTTGCAGATGACACACAAATTGGGGGAGTGGTAAATAATGAAGAGGACAGGTCACTGATTCAGAGCGATCTGGAACACTTTGTAACCTAGGCGCAAGCAAACAATATGCATTTTCATATGGCTAAGTGTAAAGGTACACATCTAGGAACAAAGAACGCAGGCCGTACTTACAGGAGGGAGAACTCTATGCTGGAAAGCAGTGACTGACAAAGATGTGGGAGTGGTGGTGAACATGAGCTCTCAGTGCCATGCTGTGGTCAAGAAGGCTAATGTGATCCTGGGATGCATAAACGGGAATCTTGAGTAGGCGTAGAGCGGTTATTTTACCTCTTTATTTGGCACTTTTATACTGTCCGACATGCCCATTGCAACCCCCTGGCAGTAGTCTTTTTGTCCTCCCCCCGGTATTTTTAGTAAAAGTCAGGGACAGCTCACGGGCTTCCGTGATTTTTTTGTTTATTGCCCATGATCCGTCCCAGACTTTTACTAAAACTACCCTGGACAGAATCTTAAACTTAATCCTAACCCAACTTTAGCCCTAAGTCTTAACCTAACCCCAACCCTGGCCCAGACCCACCGCCCCACCAGGGCATAGGCATGTAGGTTAGGTCTGGCTCTGTAGGCTCTGAGCCATTTTACACCCTAATGTAGAGAAGCTAGATGGTCACAAGGGTCCTTCTGGCCCTGGGATCTATGAATCTCTGCCCTGGGGCCTCTCCAGGCAGGGAGGGAGGCCTGGGGAAGAAGCTAGTCAGCTGTCTCTTTGGGTCAGAAGGCAGCTCGATCACCCTCCTAGCTAATATTAGCAGCCCTTCCTGGGCCAGACAACTGTGGTATTCAGGAAGCTCCCTGCCTCCAGACCGTCTCACTCCAAGGAGGGGTTGCATCCAGCACCCAGACTCGGACCTGCTCCATCTCACAGCCTGGGCTGTGGGAATCTGCCTGCATCAGAGCTGGACTGTGCAGCAGGGTGCGAGAAGCAGCACTGAACTCCAGGACACTACCAGCACGCTGCTGCTATCCCCAGGAATACAGATGAAACGCAGCTCCAGGGCAGCCCATACTGGAGTCTCTCTTACGTCTCAAACCCCAAGAGCTCTCCTCGTCCTCAGCCACGGAGCTTCTGGCAGCAATTCCTGCCCCATGGTCCAGAACCCCTGTGTTTAGCCATGCTGTGGCTAAAGGCTCCTGAAGGGTCTCGTCAATACCCACCCTCCCAACAGGGATCTGCTTCCTGCTTGGGACCTTCATGTGGTTCTAACCCTGTTAATGGGGCCTTGCTTTAGCCCTTGGAAGAATGTTCCTGACCTCGTCTCTCCATGGGAACCGTTTGTATCATAGCCATAACGTCAGCTAGGAGGGAGATCGAGCTGCCTCCTGAAAAAGAGACAGCTGGTGAGCTTCTTCCCTAGCCTCCCCCAGGTTAGCGATTCATTGATTCCAGGGCCAGAAGGATCCTTGTGGTCCCCTAGTGTGAGCCCCCAAACAGCTGCATGCACGAGAGGCCAAAAGGGCGCTAGCCCTCTGTCTGAATGCGTGAAAGGTTCCAGGCCAGCTCCTCGTCTAGACGCAGTGTGTGTGTGGGGTGGGGGGGGGGAGAGAAGCACAGAGGCTGTCACTGCACTGCACGTCCCAATGGATCTTTGCAGTGAGGGGTAATATTAGGAAAGCCAAAAGGCCTCAGGGGATGGGGGGCATTCAGTTTGGGCCAAGGCAACACCTGTAGCTTGGCTTTGACACACTCGATAGCTGGCAGGTCCGGTCACAAAACACTGTTCCCGTATCTGGGCTCCTGGGCTGATGCGCAGTGTGTCAGTCACTGCCTAGGAACACGGTCCTGGACAGGACCTCCTGGGTCATGGAGTCCAGTCCCGGATTAAGATATAAGGTAACTAAGCTACAGCTTAGGACCTCACAATATGAGGGGCCTCTAAAACATAAAAAACGGACTACTCCATCTCAAGTGTTATCAAAATTGATTGATAAATAAAGGAGATATGGGAAGAAGAAGATTCTCTCTAAATATAGACATTTTTGTTCAAATATGACAAATATACACATCTGGCTACACATACCCTATCCATACCCTTACCCTTCATTGACTGTTCATTATTGACAGGTGGGAGCCAGGGCTGAGAAAAAAACAATAACTGCACTAGTAAAATTAGTATTTCTACAAGTAAGTCTGCTGTCAGTCTCCTAAAGCAGCGTTTTGTTGGCCAACTGCTACTGGTAAAATTCTGACCGTGCCTTCATAATTATTTAAATAAATACATAATCTCACTGCCAATAAAATCAGGGAAAATGTGAGGTTGGAGACAGCAGTGTCGTGAAGCAATCCTGCCAAGTTCATACTTGTATGTTAGTGTGTTCTTCTTTCTTTTCATCTGTACATACAATTGTGTATTTTAGTGTGCATGCCACTTTCTGCCTCATGCGCTATTCATGTTTCACATGACTGAGTTTGCAGGTGCTCGTCTTATGGACTTGAGTCGAGTGGGTCTTGAGGAGGATACATTTGTGTTGGCTTCCCTCCACCAGTTTCGGGAACCTACACAGTAAATATCAGTGTGCGCTGATGAAGGATAAATGAGGGTTTTGAGAGAAGTGAAGGAAGATACAGGTATATATCAAAATATTCTGAGTACTTGTTGAGCAAGTTATTTCAAACTATGTGCATATATGATTTATAGGCTATTAAAGCCTCTAATATTAATTGTAGTTGCTTGAATA